CCACTGAAACCAATACGGAAATAAAACAAATAATAATAATAATTTGAAGATTAAGTTATATTACAATTAATTTAAATAAGAATTTGTATTTCAAATAGAAACTCTAACTACATCCTGCAATGAGTATTGTATTTTTTTTTTATGTTTTTTTGTCATTCTAAGTAATGCAGATGAGGACATTTTCATGTCATTGAATTCTGCACTAAAATTCCCAACGTAAAAATGAATGTAAAGAGATTTTTTTTTTTTTTAACCGGTTTAGCCAGCCAAGAACCTGTATAAATTTTTTATCAAATAATTTATTAGGAAAACCAGTTGTTTTTATATTTTTACTGTCTACCATACAGCTAGATAAAGCATTCATCAAGTATATTTTACAAAACTTGCTTTCCAAGATTTATAGATCTAATCTAGTGTTGGTTATATACATGAAGTCTAAATGTTTCGACTTGAGGAAACTACATAAAAAACAGGTTTGACCTTATTTCGACCTATTTCGACCAGATCTACAAATGGTTAAAATAGTTTCAACTTCATGTATAGTTGGTTAATTAATTTTAGAAAATATTTAACATTAATATTAATATGTTTATCGTGTCGTGTTGTATTTTTCATTACTTCTGTTAGAGGTTGAAATCAACTAAATAGTCGACTACTAATACTATATACTAATATTATTATTGTCTGACCAATTATGATTTTTGTGTTTTATCATTCAAAATGAAAAATTTCTATGCGGAAGAGTATCAATACCATCAATATGATGATGACGACAATAGTGGTGGTGTTGTTGATGATAATTTTACATGCGAATGAATAAACACTTCCAATACAAGGTCTAATGGTTCATTGGCTTCGAGTTCCAATGATTTAAGCGGTGGTTCCAGAAGACCTTTAAAAAAACGAATCGTAACACATGGTTTTGTGTGGAAGCATTTTGAAAAGTGAAAGATTCAAATGGAAATGAATTCGTAATTTGCAAATTAAAAAAAAAAAATTTAGTCGACTAAGGATTTTTTGGACGATTCCAACCTCTATAAATAATGATGTTGTTATTGACAACTAAAATCCTAATTTAGTAATAATTGTCTTGACTAAACATATGAATAAATAGTTTAGTCAGTTAGTCAGTGCTCATTTGAGTTACGCGGCTAGTACTGATAAACATCCATCTTTAATGATAAAGTAGATTCATCATTAGCATACACATACACGAATATGCTGTGGTGCAACTAATTGAACTCTTCCAAGTAAAAATGTATATATTACACATGTTTACTTAGCATAGTCAAACTTGTCTGTTTCACATATTAATATTAACATATAAAAAATCCGCCGTGGCAAGATTAGTATTAGTATTAATATTAATAATCTTGACACAACGGATTTTGAATAAAATTTTCTTATTCATTCACTGTGGCAAGGTTTGACTGTATGAAGAAGAGTTCCTAACAAAAAAAATCTTTATACAAGTCAAATCTATCTATTCCATTATAGTAGACGTTCGAATGTGACAATTATTAGCTGACAAAATTTCAAGAGTGGGCAATAAGTAACATGCGCACCGAAAAAATTTGGTTACACCAAATTTTTAGCTGCAATGATAAAAAACGTATTTTTATTTTTATTTAATTATTCATTTTTTTTAACATAATTTCTATATGTAACATGATTTCTTTAGAAAATTTAATAGCTTAAAGAAAACCCTTAGAAAAAATCCTAGAAAGACATACTGTATATATATTAATATATACATTTATACATAATTTATTTTATATTTATACTTCATCTACTTCAATAATATCAGTTTTATTATTTAATTCTATTTCATCTTCTCGAGAAGGAATAGATTCATTATTTGAAACAGAACTTAAACTCCTTTTCAATGAAAACCCTTCATTCGTTATGTATTGAAAGAAATTGCCAACTGCACCTAAATTGAATGCTAAAAAAAGAATAATAAAAGTAAATCAAAGAATTGATTAACTAATTCGAAGATAGAATTTTTTTTTTTTTTTTTACCTGTTAGAGCAATTAGGGCTACAATTCCATTTTCTTGCTTTCCAGGCTATAAATCAAATTAATTAATAATTTTCAAAAAAAAAAAATTTTTATTTTTAAAAGTTAAAATAGATAGATACTTACATTCATAACAGTTACTACTTCATAAACCAAGCAAGGAATGTATTGTATAAGAAATACTAAAACATAGGTTAAAATTTTTTTGAAAACTTTTCTTTCAAATTTATTTTTTAATATGCCACTACTACTTCCATTGTTACTTCCACTATTATCACCGCTATTACTTTTCATATTACTTCTATAATCAGCCCTTTTAATTAACATTAAAACATGAGCATAACAATATGTTATAATTGATAATGTTAACAATACTACTGAAATAGCGAGTATTGAAAAAAATTTATCAGTATAATCAGGTGCACACCTAAAATTAATAAATTTATTATTATTGTTAATAAAAAAAAATTTTTTTTTAATATAAAAATTAAAAAAAAAATTCTTACCAATATTTATGTTCGCTAACATTACGAACTATAAATGCAAAATAAAAACTACCTATTGAGAATAGTACCACCCATAATTTATAATCACACTTTCCAAAATCAATCCATATTCCTCTGACAACTCTTAGCCAAGAAACAACTGATATAGAAACAACCAAATTTGTACTTAGAGATGTTGAAAAAACCAATAATGAACCAATTATTGAACAAGCCGGAAATTCTAAAGGCCTCTTGTAGATTACACCATATCCCTTTATAATTATTGATTATATTATTGATTTAAGAATAAACTATTAATACTATTAATATCTTATTATTTAAAAGAATTTAATAAATATACACTTACATGATTTATTAAAGATATTATTGATAAAAGCACGTCTAATGTTAAATTGGAATTTTAAATTAATTAGAATTTATTAGAATTAAATTAAATCCTTCAACTTATCCGAATCTCTATTTACCCGTTAAAGCAAGGTAATATGGAAATCTAAGGGACATAGGAATTTCTGAACGGTTTTTCCATCTTATATATGTACCTGAAAACAAAATATCTTTCTTGTCAATAATCAATATTTTTTTAAATCTTTGAAAATTAGAATTTATCTTACGTGAAATAATGTATAAACATCCAATAATATTACAGACAATAATAAACAATGAAAATACAAGAACAATGTAAACGCTATCTATATCTGACGTTGATGAATCATCAGTGTCGTTTGATGCTGGTAAACTGTATGCAAGTGGTATTTGTTGTATGATTATAAAAAATTGTGTTAATACTAGAATTAGATTATTTGGTAATATTTTATTAATGTCCGATAACATTTTATACGAAAATGTGAAAATTAAAATAAAAATCAACGAATTTACTGATTATTTTATTATCACGATTATTTTTGTTTTTTTTTATATTAATATGTAAAAGATAATTTTCAAAATGAGTTCATTAGGAGAAAATTCAAAAAAAAAAGAGAGATAATCCTCAAAATGAGTTTGTTGAGAGAAAAAAAAAAAAGAGGTTTATTTATGTAATAGAAGAAAGAATTGATTTTATTAAATCTTCAACTCGGAAAAGTGGCACGATCCATCTGATCCGTGCATTGTGAGATTTTTTAAAAATTGGTAACCAAAATAGTTTGATAATTATTATATAAAATTATATAAAAAATTATGTAACGTATGTAATGTGGTTTTAAAAACAAGAACATGGTTTTCTAATTTGAACACGATCCAAATATAATCAATCATTTAGAATTGAATGGTGGGATTTTTTTCATTATTCCAAGTAAAACGTGTCACAACGGACAACGAATGAAACAACTTTAAAATTTTTTGTGAAAATCGGTACCTTTTTTGGGAAAAATATTCGCGTCAATCAGCATCTAATGAATTCAAATAATAAACTTTTTTTTGAAAAATAAAAATACAACCATGTAATTAATAAGAAATAAGGCAACGGAGAAGTTTTTTGATTTTATTAGTAAAATCATCTAAAAGTATAGTCGAACTTTATAATTTATAGTCTTGCTCAATGATTTTTGTGTTACAATATTTATTTTGAATCACATGGCCAAATTTGATTAATGTTTTCTTTTTTCCATGATCCTTTTAAGTAACGTGTAAACAAACAATTAATCAGGCTTTGATAACACAAGAAAAAAGATGTATGTATATTAAGTGGATCTATTTGTTAATATTTAATGAATATTATTATTATATATGAAACTGGAAATATGCACCCCGCTGATCATCATTAAAATTCTAAATCACGAATTAAACCTTTTTTATATTATTAATAATAACTTAAAAACCATAACATAGTGGACATTTGATTTCATTGGCTAAATTTTGTGACGATCTCCCTTCCAGATATCACGCAAAAATTAAATTTTATTGGCTTGAAGATCGTTACGCAAATTTGA